AACGCCCCCACGGCTGAAAGGGCGAGCATGTTTGGTGTGACGGGGATTCGAACCCTCGACCCTCAGATTGTGAGTCGAGTGCCCTAACCACCTTATGAAAATGTAATATTTTACATTACTCCAACATGTTTTCCATACATTCCAACTATTAATTTATGGAAGCCTAAATACTTTATTAATCAAAAATATTAATTATTTTTTGGAATATAATAACAATCACAGGAAGAAAAAATTTTAATGTAAAATATTTTAAGATTAACTGATAATGTGCCAAAAAAAAACGTAACGCAATAACTGCTTTATATAAAAGTCACTTGTAATTATCCACAATTTTTTTCTGTTTATAGTACTTCGACATTGAATTCCATTTTATCGCAAGACATAATAGAATAATAAATGCACTGACGTCAGACGACAAAATAAACTTATCTATACCACAATATTCTCCTTTACCCATCTCGGAATGACCCTTAGTTACACATAATTTCAAAATGCACCACAACAGACATTACTTATAAATGCGGTATATAAGAAGAACGCCTAGTATCCCAATAGTCGCCATCTACTGAGGCCTAGGGCAGAATGTGCGCTGTGCCATAATGGTCCCGTATCCTTAAGTGCTACCGGATGTAGTAGTCTGTTGCCACTTCGATCTCCATATTGTACCCTTGGCAACCTCGCTATGTGGTGCTAAGCAGTCGGGTTTTTCTTCATCAACTTCAGATCAGAATCTACCATTTCTTGAACTAGTTTCTGAAACGAAAAAAATAAAGGCTACAAAGTTAGCATGCAAAACACGGTGGCCCAAATAAATTGCAATACAAAATAATCAACGTTAACCTAAGTAGAATTAACAAAATTTAGATACTTGTACATATCTTAATTTGATTACGGAAAAACTCGCATTAACATTGACTTTCTACTGCCCTATTAGTGTCCTGCTTGACAACTGACCTTCTACTGCCCTATTAGTGTCCTGCTTGACAACATACTCCGTTAAAAACTGCGACTTTTTTCCTTTTTTTTGCAGAATGACGCATTTTCAAATCAAGGTGAGAAAAATAAAACTGAAATAGTTCTGACAGAGTAGTATAACAACTTACTGGATTTCCAGAGAAGTTCAACAATTGAGTGTGCAAAGACTATATTTTTAAATTCACCAAGAACCTACTGGTGTTACTGTGTATTCCATGACACTCTGCCCAGCATGGCCAGGTGGTTAGGGCACTTGACTCGCAATCTAAGGGTCACAGGTTCGAATCCTCGTCCCACCAAACATGCTCGCCCTCTCAGCCGTGGGCGTTATAATGTAACATTCAATCCCACTATTCGTAGTAGCCAAAGAGTTAAAGGTGGGTGGTGATGACTAGCTGCCTTCCCTCTAGTCTTACACTGCTAAATTATGGACGGCTAGCGCAGATGGTCATCGTGTAGCTTTGCGCGAAATTCAAAAT